GAAGAAATAAGATCCTCGTGACTCGATGCGCAACTCGAAACCCCCTCCCTTCGTTGTTCTTTCAATTGTAAGAGGAAAAAATTTCATTATCCCCACGACCACGTGATCCTGGAGTGATCGCTTCATTAAGAGAACGTAATTTTAAGACGCGGACTCGTTGGTGGATCACATGACAAGCGATATTTTTAATGGCAATCCTTTCTTCTTTACGAGAGCTTTGTGAAAAGGGAAGATGAGGGGATACGCGATAAAAAGATTCTCCGGGGGAGGATAGAAAATCAAAGTCATTGATGAATCATGTAACAAGCGATATTTCACGAGAATTTTACTAAAAAAAAAAAAGAAAAAGAAAGAATCAAGGACTTTTATAAATGAGAGATAAATGATAAAAAATTAATCATTCTTCAAATTATTGATAAATCGTATGATTCGAAAGAAAAATGGAGGAGAAATTTGCAGGAAAAATATTCTGTAACCAAAAAATAAACATAAATGATGATACGAATGAATTTTCCAAACACCGATCAAAACCGAGAAGTCTGAACCATTATCTACGTATCACAAATATCCTGCTCCTTTAAGCAGCCACATGGAATCGAAACGAGCGAGCCTCGCAGCAGAAGAATCGATGGAACGAGACCGAATAAGCTCGTGAAACGAGCGTGCAAGGATAATCGAGATTTTTACGCCCGGCTCCATTTGTCCGGGCCACGGCACGATTCCCACCAATGCCGTGGTGAGGGACCGTTAGCCGCGCGAAATCCCCGGCTAAATTAGATTGATATTAAGCTAAACTCGGACGCGAGAGGAGGCATCATCGAACCGACTCGTCCTGGACGGTGATTGGCACCGTTGGGATCCGCACCTGCTGTTCCATCGGAATTCCCGCGAGATGAGATTCCGTAATTTTCTCACGATACACACGCACGCACGCACGCACATGAGGGGCCCCCGAGTCGCGGGCCCCGCGACGTACGCCGCGTGTGTTCACCTTCTCGCTCGGTTTGATCGCGTCCTCTCGTTGCGGAACGTCAAAAATATAATCATAAAGGTTAACTGGAAGATTAATAGCGGTCGGTGGCGTGCGTGCTACACTGCCAGAGAGGATGGCTTTTTTTTAATTGAGTCGTACCGGCTGGTTGAAGACCGGCTTTCCGTTGTCGATCCCGTCGAATCTTTTTTTCTTTTTTCACTCGCGGCGACGGAATTTTACGACACATTACGATTCTCTCTCTTGTGCACGATCACAGTGGATGTTGACGGTGGATGAGAATCGTTCGTGATATTTTTCTCTTCTGATTTGCGTTGGAAATTTTCATAAAGATTGAAAACAGCAAGTAACGCAAGATCTTCGAATCGAAAAGATATTCTTTCTTCGTTATTCGTGCCAAATTTGCCACCAATTTTATCAGCACGATTTTTATCGTTTAAGCGCTGCTTCCACCCTTCGAAAGTCATTCGAAACCATCACTTGCCTCGTCCAACAGCGTCCCCTTTACATCGGTGTGACTACAAGGCAGCGGAGGAAACGAATACGGACCACCCGTCCGCCCCCTCCTCCCCGTGTCCTGCCGTCGGGGGAATTATTTATACCGTTCCCTTGGAAAGGGGAGGCCCGTGGTGGCTGCCGGTGTATGCGCCTCGCGGCCGTAATTCAACTTAGAAAACAACAGAGGCCCGTGCATATGTGTCCCAGGTAGCGGTAAATTAGTGGCGTGGGGCCCCGAATTTCGACCGCGCGCCTTACCAGAGCAAGGGGTCCCGCGGGGATGCGAGCAGTCCATACACCACGTCCACGGAGGAGGAGGAGGAGGACGTCCCGCGGCGAGAGCCGGCACTCCTGATTAAAATTACTCTGCCGAGATCCGGCGAGATTTCCGCGGCGAAATTTATGAAATTGTCCCGGTTTATTGTTTTAAATGAGCTTGCGTTCCCGAAGAGATCAACGGCGGATAAGCGGCGGTTCCCTGTAAATCCACGCCCGACAGCCGGGGGAGGGTGACGGTATGCGGAGGCGGGGGCGCCTCTCGACCCCCTAGAGAGGACGTCCTCCGTGAAAATCGTCCGGGGTTAAATCAGGATTAAAGGGGACCGAGAGAGATTTCTTTTTTTTTTTTTTTATGTTCCACGATATGGGGGAAGAGAAATGGGAGGAGAATGGCTCCATTTTTCCGTGCCCGTTTCGTGAGACTTGGCTCGATCGGCAATCGTTGTCGGGGAACGATCTGTCTTAGGATCGATGGGGATTAGAATAATTTGGAAATTGTTTGGAGGAGCGCGAAGAAGGGGTTGTTAAAGTAACGGTAGATAGATGGAATATGGAAAGAGTTACAAAAATCGATTGTTGGGATTAATTAAATACGAGAAGAGTTTATATTTATATGATTAAAAATAGAGGAAAATTATATATCCGAAAGAAATGTATCAAAAATTCCTGAAAAACAAGTTCCAAGAAGGATCGAAAGGAAGGTGGGATCGCACGTTAACTAACCGTTCAGAAATCAAAGAATCCGATCAAAGTTTCGTCCTTTTCGTGGCGACCACGATCGAAATTTATCACCCTGTCTCGCGATCATCGAGGCACGCCCATGTGTGTGGTGGCTGGCTCGAGAATTCGGTCAATCCGGTCCAGTCTAGACTCGAGCCCACGTCTAACAACGATAAATAATCAC